TTTTTGTATATTTACATATTAAAAATAATCTGGCAATTATAGCAAATATCTTTTTATTTACAATAACAATTTTTTTAAGAAAAAAGTTGTTAGTATTGTATAATATTTTTCATTGCATTGTTTTTAATTTAATAGTATATAGCAAAATATTTATGTAATAATATTTTGCATGTATAATTATATTTGTAAAGCTTGCGTAAATTGTGTACGATGGAGTTGGAGTGGAACAATGTTAGCATCAGCGGGAGATGATAAACTGATCAAGATATGGAAGAAAGGAGCAGGAACAGGCGGAACTGTTTTTGGTAGCAAGGTTGTTAATAAGGAAAATTGGAAATGTTCAGCTACTTTACAAATTCATCAAGGTAATTAAAGCTAGTAAATTCACTTATATTTACTATATAATTAATTTTAAATGTAAAAGTAATAGGTCAATATTTTTCAAAAAATTGAATTAATTACTGAGTGTTCTGTTAGTTATAGCGTTTAATTTTTAGACTTTGAATGTTATAATCTTGTTTTATTAATAAATAAATTAAATTAAATCATATTACCATTTTTGCAGGTGATATTTTGGATTTGTCATGGTCACCAGGAGATCGGTGGCTAATGAGTTGCAGTGTTGATAATACAATAATTATTTGGGATACTACAACTTTTACTGTAAAAGAACAACTTAGTGGGCATACGGGAATGGTGAAAGGTGTGGTTTGGGACCCTGTAAGTATGAAACTTACATTAATTATATTTGATTGTATATATTATAATTTATATTATTTTGAAAATTTATAATAAACTCGATAATTCAATAAATGAATGCTAAATTTTAGGTTGGTAAATATTTAGCTTCACAATCTGATGATAAGAGTGTTAGAGTTTGGCGTACGTCAGATTGGATGCAAGAAGCTGTTATTACGGAACCTTTTGCTAAATGTGGAGGTATTCCTTTTATATACATTATTATAAAGTATTAGTTAATATTCAAACTATAATTCTGTTTATATTAATTTTATAATTATTTAAAATTAATTGCATTTACTTCAAATACCATAATAATTTTATTTATTATTTTTATGTTTTAATCCATGTAATATTTTAGGTACTACTCATGTTTTGCGTCTTTCCTGGTCACCAGATGGTCAGTACTTGGTTTCAGCTCATGCCATGAATGGCAGAGGTCCAACAGCCCAAATAATTGAACGAGATGGATGGAGCAGTGACAAAGATTTTGTTGGCCACAGAAAAGCTGTAAATGTGTGTAAGTGTATATATTTGAATACAGCTCAACACACACCTTTCTCTAACAATCACACTTTTTGTGATATTGATAAAATTTAATAGAGAATTAATGCAGTTTAAAAAGAAAATATTTTAAGTTTCTACATTCTTCTTTAGTTCTAACTTTTTTTCAACAAAAGAGTTCTAAAAATAATTAAAACTAAAAAAGTGTATGATAATGGTTTGATTTTATATATCAGGTGATATGAGAAGCTTTCAATTTGTTATTCTAATGTTATTTTCTAGTTTTAACAATACAGGAAATAAATACACAATTTTTCTCACAGAGATTCAACAATAATATAATGGAACGAGGCGCTAGGCCTGGAGCCCGGCCTGTCAAATATTGCTGTCTTGCTATGGGATCACGAGATTGTGCATTATCTGTTTGGTGCACTTCAGATCACAGACCTTATTTGCAATACATGATTTATTCACAAAGAGTGTAATGGATCTTTCATGGAGTGCTGATGGTGAATTCTTAATTTATTTTTGATAAACATACTCAGTGATTATTAGAAAATGATCAGTGGTTAATTAAATTGTATATTACAACTTGTTTTTTAAGTGAAAATGTGTATTAAAGAGAATGTACAATTGTATTTTTTGTAATTAATTTAATGATCAAGTAGATTTATAAAGTTTTCCATAAATATTTATCATTCATCTTTATTTTAAATTTTATTTAATTTATTAATGAATTTGTTAATCTCTTGTAGGATTGTCTTTATTAGCTTGTAGTTGGGATGGCAGTGTAGCATGCTTGCATTTTAAAAGTGAAGAAATGGGTCGACTGTTGACGAGTGCAGAAAAGGTTTTTAACATTGTTTTTAGCAAGTTATTTTTTACTTATTCTTATATTCTTATCTTTCCATAGAATGCATTATATGAAAGACTTTATGGACAGTCAGCTGAAAACATAAATGATTCTGGAAATCGCACAATTCTGGAAAGTTGTGATTTATTGGATGAAACCATCAAACCAGTGCCAAATCAAGTAAATGGTGTTGAAGAAACAAGAATAGTATCTAGTGAAGTATCGATTAAAGACCAAAGTTTAAATGTTAGTGTTGAACAAGAAACCATAATCAATAAATCACAACCTCCCCCTACTGCACCAAAACCAATAAACAAACAGATTGAAACGAGAACATCTGATGGCAAACGTAGAATTACTCCCATGTTTATCCCAGCAAATGTAGAATCGTAAGTTTCTTTTTTAAATATATAGAATTTTCTCATGTTTTAAAAATCATTTTATCAATTATAGAAATAGTTTACAAAATGGAACTAGTTTTCCAAGCAGTGCAGTCATGTCAAACAGTAAAGCAGCTAGTATCACAAATTCTATGGTTAAACCCTCTGTTACCATGTGTAATCAAGTCACTCTTCCTAAGTCAAATGTTGCATCTAATAGGATTATGATAATAATAAAACTGTAGATGAATCGTAAGTACAATATTTTGATAATCTAAATATTTTATACATAATAAATGGACTTTTATTTGGCTTGCACCGAATATTCGGAAACTATTCGGTATTCGGCATATTTGGCGTCTTCTTTGATATTCGGCCGAATACAAAATAGTTAAAATCAAAGGCGCCGCTAAGCGACAGCATCGTTGGTGTTTTATCTTTTATCCGATAAAAAGCTCAGGACAGATCTGTATTTGGAAGTGTTCATTTTACATAATAGATTATGAAGAAATGTTTTGCTATATATATATATATATATATATATATATATATATATATACAGTGCTGGATTTACAGTAGGGGCAATCGGGGCTACTACCCAGGGCAAATTTTGGGGGGCGGCAAAATTTGGACAGTGAGAAAAAAATTCTATACAATATAATCAACTTTTTTAACAACATTTTTATTTCAAGAAATATAATTAACAAAACATAATACGATTTCAATGCAGAATTTGGGTTGAAATAAATGATATCTAAAATTTATTAATTTGCCTTGCCTCCCTCTCCGAACGTAAATTATCAAATTGGTAATATGTTATCCATTTTGGCAATTTGGCTAATATAGAGATCCGTTAACAAGCCGAAAGTTCAAGAAAAATATGTTCTTTAGTTCTCGAGCCCTCTTAAAATGACGTATTTGTGCACTTCCAAGCTTATAGCGTCAAAAAAAAAAATTTAAACTAGTGACTCATGGCATTGTGCCTTAAGACAAATTACTGAAACATGCCGTACTGAAAATTACATTTTATAAAAAGCTTTAAATTTTATTGAAAAATAAAAAAAATACTTCTAAAACATTTTTTTGTGTTTTGAAATTTTTCGAAAATTATGAACTTTTTGCAAAGCAATCGCGCTGCGTAGCTGTTTCAGAGAAGAAATATCGAAACTCAATTACCATTTTTCGTAATTGCCTGTACCAAAAGCTAATCAGCACGTCTCCCCATCAATACAAATCTAATATTTTAATTATTCAAGTCGATTTTGAGAACACGGATCAACCGATTTATGATTCAATTCCTATGGATAAGGAGACGTGCTGATTAGTTATTGGTCAAGGCAGGTCCAACTGTTTTGAAGATACGGGCCAAAATGCCAAAAATGATAATTTAGTTTTTGAGAAAAAAACGTCCAATAACAGTCAAAAAAATTTACAGAATAACTGCTTAAATTTGTGGAGGGCAGGTTTAGCGGTTTCGATGATCCAATAAAGAAAGAAACATTTGGCGGACAAAAGTGATCATAAGACATAGGCACATTAAATTATCAGATATTTTAAAGATATTATAATAATAAGTATAAATGTTGTTTATATTTATATAAGTTCTGTAACATTGTTTATCCGTTAGACTGCGACGCGGCGCTTACGCGCTTCTATATTTTGTCCCTCGCAGCTGAAGCACCGCGATTGCTTTAAAAAAAAGTTCGAAAGCTCGTAAAATTTCAGGGATGGGGCGGCATTTTTGTCAGTGCCCCGGGGCGCCAAATTTCTAAATCCGGACCTGTATATATATATATATATATATATATAATATTTAAACTTTATCGACCTTTGAGATTATAAATGACAACATGAAGAACTTTTTTCTCAATCTTCAAAGAATGTTACATGTTTATGCTATTTAATTCATATTAACAATTTTAATTCATTTCATATTAATAAATATCATTCAATGGTTACACACATAGATCTACAATAAAGTAGGCTTGCACCGAATATTCGGTTACTATTCGGTATTCGGCATATGCGGCATCTTTTTTAATGTTTGGTCGAATACCGAATAGTAAAATCGAAGGCGCCGCTGCCGCTCAGCGATAGCATTGTTGGTGTATTATATTTTATGCGATAAAGAGCTCGCGATGGATCTGTATTTGGAAGTATTTAGTTTACATATATAATATGAACATATGAAGATTCTGTTATTGTATATAGAATAATTTAAACTTGATCGACTTTTGAGATTAGAATTCAACACGTGAAAAGCTTTTTACTGAATCACAAGATACTTTATTGTCACATGTTTATAATATCTAATATGATTCATTCAATGGTTTCACACATTATTTGTATCTATATTATTTATTATACAATAAAGTCATTCATTAAATTCAATCTAAGCATTTTCAAATGAAGAGCTGTATTATCGGCCCTTTATTGCAAAATATACAAACAATATTTTTGATCAGTTTATTTTTATTTCATTATAATTAGCCTTCCCAATATATGAAAAATAATATTGTGGTAATAAAAAAAAAATTAAATATTCATGAAAGAAATAATTGAAAACACATTCATACAATATGTAAAGAATCGCTTTTTTCATGATGTTAACATTTATTTCTTAATCACATATGGTATTCAAGTATTTGGTATTCGGCCGAATAATATAAATTGTACCAAATATTCTAAATAACAAAGAGTAATCGAATAGTGGTTACAAGTCTAGGCATAAATTTTGAATAAACTATTGATAGTAATTACATTATTACGAACGATTTAAGGCGCACCTTCCGAATAGTTGCCGAATATTCGGTATTCGGTCTCTGGAGCATGCCGAATATTCGGTATCCGGTATTTTGCCGAATATAGCAAGTCTATTTTTTTATACATAAACATTTTTTCTTTTCAATCTCCATAGGTGCTAGACAAATATTTTATTTAAACCTGATTTATGATATTTTTCAAGCTTTTATTTATAGTAACTAGTATCCTGTTACAAATTTTTAACCTCCGAAGGAGAAGTTTGTTTTTGCCAAACATCTGATTTGCTAATTATGTTTTCTTTATTTTTCACGTTATTCTAAATCAAATGAAACCAAATTTGATAAATATGTGTGTTGTGAGCTGATTGTTGACCTTGTGCCGACGTTTTCTCAAAAACGGCTGGACGGATTTAAAAAATTTAAAAGTCTAGTCATTTTTAAAAATCCAAAAACAATCTCAATTTTTATTGATTGATTATCAAAGCTTATCATATACACGTATCAGGAAATTCATACAACTTCTCTCAAGGCAAAATTCTGCTTGCAACTAATTAAATTTGTATTCAGTAATGATTAATACTTGTAAATTAATGTATCTTTTTTAGGCCTCTCGATAATAAATTAAAAAGGGCTCTAGATTTACCAAGTGTTGGACCTGCAGTTCCAGAAAAAATAACTAAATTAGATAATGTTCGATCTAATATATCCCAAGCAGGACCATTAGCAGCATTTACTGGAAATGTAGTTCGGGATGCAGGAAAATATAAAATACAGGTGATACATAATAATTGATTATTTAATGAAGAACATATACAAAAGTTTTAAAGCTTATTGTTTTATTTAATTTAAATTTTTGTAATTTACATTTAAATGAAATCTGTTTTCCAGTTTTCAAACAATTTCCTAAAGACACAGCATGGACATTTGCATAGTATTAAAGCATACAATTCTACAATGTTATCGGATAATAAATTCTTATGGCAGTATTATACTGGTAAGTCAATAGGGAGCTAAAATATAGCAATGTTTTTTTAATATTGTTTACTTAAAGTATACTTAGTTATGGTTTATATAAAAATCTATATTAATTTTAGCAAAAAATGTTTAATCAAATTACTTATTCAAATGACACTGTTGAAAGTCAGTACGTACGATACAATATATTAAATAGATTTTAATAAAAAAAATTGTTGTTATAAAAGGTGCGTCAATTGTGTATGCAGCCTGCACAGCTTCTTTCATATCAGTGGCTTGTGAAGATATGGTAATTCACTGCTTAGAGACTACCTCAGGAAAGCCTGCATTGCCATTAATATCTTTACCAGGACCTTGTATTCGATTAGTCTTAACACCTACAAGTTATTTAGCTGCACTAACAACAAATTCACATGTTCTGGTTTGGAATATATCTGAAAGAAAAGCTATTTTTCGTGAAACATTTGGACATCTTTTAGCAGATGGTATGACAAATTTGGAATAATAAGAACATAGTAAACATCAAATTGAATTTTGATATGGAATGTATCATATAATTTAGAATCATATATGTAATGTTTATTATTCTATTTATGAAAGTATTTCTATTAACTTGCATAAATTCTTCACTTCTATAGTTTTGTCTTTGAATAAGTTTTCTTATATTGCATAGCATATGAAAAAAAAAGTAGTTTGTCTTTCTAGACTCAACAAAGGAAGTTGAAAGATGTACAACTGATTCTTCTGAATCAACTTCTTTTGTTTTTACTGAAAAATAATTGATAAAAGAATATAAGCTTATTTGAAAATATTAAGATCTATTGATTTTTATATTATTTGCATATAGCCATATTTACATATAGTTGAAATGAATATTTAGGAATCTTGTTTAAAAAATGTATGTTATTTTTTCAGCTACATTATTGAATTGTGCTCTAACACATTTTGGTATGCCAATCATAACATTTTCAAATGGCAAATCATATACTTATTGTAAGGATCTACAAACATGGTAAGTTAATGTTTAACAAAATTAAATGGTATGAAGTATGACTATCTTTAAGTAATTTATTTTTTGTTGCTTTATAGGATAATGTTATGTAATCCACGAGACCCTGTAATGAGGATAGGAATGTGGTCCGTCTCTAAAGCTACTCCGCCTCCTAGGGGACAAGCTTTGACTATTGCACAACATGCAATATCTGCCAAGTCCATGTTATATGGGTATATTTTTCATTATATTTTTAATAATGCTTACAATAATGCATATTTTATATAATATAAGATACTACTTAATATGTTATATAAAATATCTTATATTATAGTCTTATATAGATTAGAGCATTTAAAATTCTAAAATTGATTATGGCATGCCAATTTGGCTCAAAAAATATATTATTTTTTTTATTTCATTTTTAAATCGCTGCAGATATATTGAACAATTCATTTCTTATATAAATTTTATGATGCCACAAATCCACTTACCACAAAAAAAATACAGTAGTACTGAAGTATTCAAAATTATAAAAATAGATTGTAAATTGGGCTGAATAATTGAAACAAAACAAGAACAAATACTGAGAATTTATAAAATTTCTATTAATTATGATAGTATGCTTTTTCTTTAATTTTTAGTGCTGGTAATACTCGTCAGCATGCAGCAGCCCAAAGCTTTCTGGAATCACAATTGATAGCAAGTGAGGCCTTGAAATCAGCTGATGACTTCCGATATTGGCTAGAAGCGTTTATGGAGCATTTAGGAGCTCATGGGCCTGAGCAAGCATTGAGAAGAGTACTAGATGATCTGTTGGGTTCATCTATTTTGATGTCCAAAGATGCAAATAATACTTCGAAACGAGAAATATTGGTAAATATAAATTTTTATTTGTGACTAAATACCCTGAAAGTTTGTCTGCTTCTATAAATACTAAGGCTATTAATTTTATTTGTATTTTTATGAGAGGATTCATATTTTATTATTAATCTCTATAGGCTTAATTTTTCATATTTATTAAATATGACTATCTTATGCATGTTTACAATACTTTTATATCAACAATGCAACAGATATCAATTGTAATCATTCTAAAATAAAACACAGACTATAATAGTTTGTTCATGTCATTTTTAGAATTATTTTTATGTTGAAAGAATTTCTGACCAAAATTATTTATCATTTCCAGGGACTTGACAAAAATGTACTATTAGAATCTTGCCTACGAATTCTGAGGAAGCATGTTAAATGGCAAAGAATATATTTAGAATATTCAGATCAGATAAATGAAATAAATGCTCAAAAGTTATGAGTTCTTCAAAATATATTTATTCATTAAGAAATATTATTACTTGTTTGTATAATGAAATTCTTAATCTAATTATATTTAAATAGTACTAATCATTTTGTATCATATGTTAATAATTCACACAACTGACTGCCATTCATCTTACATTTTATTTTCCTAAGAAGTTTTATCACAACAAAACATTATTCCATTTCAATTGTAAATATTAAAAGTAATTTTTACAATTTAAATTTATCATTTATTGCTACTAAATTTATATTTATTCTAAATACCAATATATGATGTACATTAAAATTATTTATAAAATTTGGAAAGTATGTAAATTTTTGATTATGTATCCCATAATATCAATTATACTATTTATAAAACATAATTTTGAATTATTTTATACTTTAATAAATAAATTGCAGAAAAACTGTTTTATTGAATAATCTTAATTTTAAAAAGTAATTATAGTTCTTTTGGGAGTTTGTATTAGAACGTTATTGTTTCAGAGAATTCAATATTATCGTTCGCCGACAAAAAAAATGGTAGCGCACCATATTGTCGAATAGAAGCACTGACACCTTCTATCTTAGTGCAAAATCCATAGATAAACAAGTATAATGGTTCCTGTCTGAGAAAAGACAGCATAGCACATGTTTTAACTAAAAAGAGAGCATGTGCTCATAAATCGCTGTTTGCTCGAAGCGAACTTATTTCCCTGTTCCTATCTTTGTATTATTTTATATCTTTGTTTTTAGTTTGAAGACATTTTTTGAAGTTTGCATATAATAAAATATAAAAGAAAACCCAAAAAATTATGAGAAATATTTCATCCATGATAATATGTATCTGATTTTTTTTGTTTTCCATTTGACATATAATTAAGATAACATCTTTTTGCCGAATATCACCTTGTGCTTTTTTAATAATCAAAGCTTTGTTTTACAAAAATGGATGAAGATGAAGTTGAACGATTTGAAATAACAGATTATGATCTAGAAAATGAATTTTATCCTAGAAGCAGAAGACGTCCTACAAAAAATCAACAGATATATGGTTAGCTTCATTTTAAATTTATAATTTAATTTAATCGTTTAATCCTAGGTTGATAATATCTGTGCTTGAATATTGAAATCAATCTTTTTAGCAGTTTCTGATTATTTCTAAATCATAGCTTAAGAATATTGTTTTTGCATAATTTGTGTAAACGTACTAATTACCAATAAGTTATTTAATTAAAGTTCTTTGACATTATTTATGAAGCAATTTATTACTTTTACTTTCTTCACTACATTTGTGATAAATTTTTTTTCTAATTGTGTAAGGTATTTGGGCAGCGGATGATAGTGAAGATGATGAACCCAAATCTGGGAGGAAACGACCAAAAGATTATAGTGCACCAGTCAACTTTATTGCTGGTGGCATTCAACAATCTGGAAAAAAAGAAAAAGTCGAAGATGAGGGTAAAGATTATGATAAAACATAAATAATATGTGTTAAATTATATCATTTTGCTTAATTTCTCATGTTAATTGCTATTAATTAAAATTATTATTAAATAATAGTTTTTGAAAATGCTAGAGATTTATACATTATTACATTAATTAAAACTATGTTTAAATATTCAAATCAAAATCAAATACAAGGGTGGTTAAATTCTTTAGATACATTGAATATTATTTGATTTGTATAACTCAGCTTTTATTTTCATTCATTTCAATCAATTTTAGAAAAGGAAGAAGAACCAGAAGTTATAAATTCATCGAGTGAGTCAGATGAGGAACCGAGGGCAAGTTTTAAAAGTAATGAGACAGCTGGCATGCGTAGTGTACAGAAAGGATTTGTTCAACAAGGAGTTGGCAGTTGGGAGAAGCATACTAAAGGTATTGGTGCTAAGTTGTTATTACAGGTAACTATTTATAAAGAACGAAACGATTTAATATTATAATTAATTTTTGGTTTCCATTTTTTTGCATTAGATGGGATATCAACCCGGTAAAGGACTTGGAAAAACATTGCAAGGTATTTCTGCGCCAGTTCAAGCACATGTGAGAAAAGGCAGGGGAGCCATTGGAGCATACGGTCCTGAAAAGGCACCTAAAGTAGCTGATAAAAAAGTATGTTGCTTTTATTATTTAATTATGATATGGTATTGATTCAACAATAAATTGCCTAGTATTTTTAAAATACCTGCATAATGGAATATTTTGTCTAATTTTTTTTGTGTATAAGTAATTTCAAATTTGTGTATAATAATTTCAAAATATGATTATGATATAGTCAGGACAAGCTACTGAAGATGGTAGTAAGAAAGAGTCATCGAGTTATAAAGAGAGGTTAAACAAATGGCGAAGAAAGGATGGAGATAAATCACCGAAAAATAAAACCAGATATTTTTATAACAACTTTAGTGAAATGAAAACGGAATCATTGTTGATAAATAAGCAACCCAAGATAGATTCTTTAAAAAAGTAAGTAATTTAAATATTGCTTAAATTTGCTCATCTTCATGTAAAATGAATGATTTTAGGGAATTTGAAACTACAAAAATAATTGATATGACAGGACCTACAAAAAGGGTTTTATCTGGATACCATGCTCTAAAACATACAAAAACTAATGATGATAATTTATATGATGAAAAACAATATGCAGTGAGAAATAATTTCTCACTACCGGAATTAATGCATAATTTAAATCTTATTGTAGAAATGTATGAACAGGTAAGTCTTTGTAAAGCCTTATATATTTTAAAGTTTTAATTACATATTGAATAAAGATTTCATGTTGAAATAATAATTGCAGAATATTATTGCGAATGATAAGATTGTGATGGACTCTTCTGATAAATTAGTTACTATGGAACATGCTCATAAAGCTTTGCAGGATGTAGTTTCAATAGAACAAACTTATATAAGTTCATTAGAAAAAGTATTTGAAATAGTACAAAATCTTAAGAGAGAAGATATAGGAATGAATGAACTGGCAGAACAATTAGTAATACTTCAGGTAAAATATTTTATTAATAAATATTTTTTAACTTGAAATTGATTTAAAATATAATTCAGTAATTTTTTATAAATAATAATAGGTCAAATTAATTTTTGTATATGAATGCATAAAATTGGAGTTGAATTTAATTCATAAATTGTTACTTTTAGTTTACTCCATTGTTGTGCATTTTAATCATTATTAATAGAAGCAACTGTGAAAGTGCATTAGACTATTAAATTTAACAATAAAACCAATTTTTATTTTCTCACTTTGAGTATTAAAAGTTACGTTAAATATATATTTAATAGTACATACAGTGTTAAATTATTTTTCGCTAATTAGTAACCATTTTATTAGGCTTTAAATTTTAAGAATTGCCTTCATTCATGTGTATTTAAAGTGAATTGTAAATTTAACCATTGTAAAAACAACTCTAAGTTATTAAATTATTGAAATAAAATCTTGTATCAATAGAGTAATCATGCAACGGAGTATGAAGAATATCAACTTTGGGACCTTGCTCATCTAGTTGTAGCTCCCAAACTAAAAACATTTATGAATGGATGGAATCCTTTGCATTTTCCAAAGCAGCATATACAGCTTATCGAACAATGGAAAGATATATTATATGATGGAAAAAAACAAAGTGGAATAGAATCATTTGGAAAATTGGTAAGATTTCATTTGTAATATAGACTTCATGTTCATATTGTTATCAAGGCATAAACTACACAATTGTTAATTATTGATATATTACTATATTTTATATTACTTAGTAGTTATATTACTTATTACTATTAACTATCAACTGTTAACGATTCACTTATCATTTTTCACTATTTACTATTAACTATTCATTTATCACTTATCACCATTCACTATTTAACTATTCATTTATCACTATTGAGTATTAACTATTTATCTATTAACTATTAACAATTTATCTATCAACTTTGAATTATTTATCTATTAACTATTAATTATTTATCTATTAACTATTCACTATTTACTATTAACTATTTATTTATCACTACTTAATATCCACTACTTAATGCAATAACTATCAACTATTTATCTCTTAACTATTAATTTTTTATTATTTATCTGCTTACCTATTTAACTATTGAATTATTCACTTATCACTATTAACTTTTTATCTATTTAACTATTCACTTATCGCTATTCACTATCCACTATTTAACTATTAACTATTTGTCTATTAACTATTCACATATCACTATTAATAATTAAATATTCACTATTCACTTAAGGATTTTTATTTATATTTATATTTAAATTTACATTTATATTAAAAGTACACATTTACCAAAACACAATGGTAAGTGTGCACATTTACCTGTGAATGTACATACGCACTATAATCAGTTTGGGAAATGTGCACATTTTTGTGCACCAAGAGTGCACATAAATTTATTTTATACAGCGTTTTAGCAAAACAAATGTTTAGAAAATATATTAAATTAAATATGATAAAGAAAAGTTCTGTTTATGCAATATTCCATAAAATTATTTATGAGTTACATATTCACTACTATTTTTTAAAAAACATAACACTCATATCATTATCATTTTTGTTTTACTGTTTAATGAATATTATTTTTTTCAGGTTTGGTTTAGCGTTTGCCCCCATTTACAATCAGCTTTAGAACAATGGAATCCGAAACAACCTAATGATGCTATCCAGTTTTTGGCAATTTGGGATCCTCTATTTACAAATTGGGTTCGTAATAATATTTATGACCAATTATTGTTACCAAAGATTACAGAGGAAGTTATTAAATGGGACCCTACAACTGACATAGTACCAATTCATATTTGGGTTCACCCCTGGGCACCAATTTTAGGTAAAATTGATAATAGATACAAAAATCAAAACACAAGTCATAATACATGTAAAAAATTTAGTATTTTACTTAATGTTTAAATTTGATGGACCTAATTTGTTTGTTAGTTAGATTGATTGATCGAATGCTAGAAATTGGAAGTTCAATCTTTTCACAAACAGAAATTTAGATTTTTTAAAAATATATCCTTTAGAAAGATATTGAAATAACAGAAAGATATAAAATG